TCGCCTTATTTCCCGCCTTAGCATTTACGAAAGATCCGTCGCGTTCGTCGGCCAGCCCGTTCAATCGCTAGCTATCAGGCTTTCACAGATCAATGTTATCTTTCGCGTCGCTGAGCCTACCGGCCACAGAGTTACCGAACACAGCAGTGGCAGTATGTTATCATTGGTAAGTAACTAATTTTATTAACAATTATTTTGCTTACTGTCACCAAACTTGCATGAGCATGAGCATGAGCATGAGCATGAGGAGCAGCAGCAGCAGCAGCAGCAGCGGCGGCGGCGGCGGCGGCCGCCTCGTGCTTCGCGAAGACTACGCGAAAGCTGTTCTTCGTTTTAGTCCTTCTTATGGTCTCAGTTGAAGTCAAGCATTTCTACAATCTTCAAAAAGAGATGGGTGATTCTCCCACGATAGCCGTTACATCGAGGCCAGCCACAGAAAGAAGGTAGCACTCATGCTGCGCGTCTTTGACCGTTGATATCGAGTCAACAAGCCAGACGCCTATATCTCCTCAGTGGTCTGCGTCGGTCCGTCTATCTGTTCCCTCGTGCCCCCTCGCTCTAAACTTCTTCCTCCTTAATTTTTAGGCGTTTCATCGCCGGGCTGAGCGTCTTTACCCTCGCTGTGCATATGTAGTACACTGACATTGCTATCAGTATCCTCACCATTGCCGCGAATGGAAACAACAACAACAACAACAACAACAACAGCAGCAGCAGCAGCAGCAGCAGCAGCAGCAGCAGCAGCAGCAGCAGCAGCAGCAGCAGCAGCAGCAGCAGCAGCAGCACCACCACCACCACCACCACCACCACCACCACCACCACCACCACCACCACCACCACCACCACCACCACCACCGATACCCCGGTCATCCTGATTCCTACGAGTTTTGACGTTTCTGTCCGACGATACAACAAAGATTATGACGACGAACAATTCGACGTGTACTGAGGTGCAGAGGAGCCCAGTAAAAGATGATTGAACAAATTAATGCCCACTTGTGCTAACCATTGCCAAAATCGCCTACTTTTACTAGTTGATCAATTTAGCAGAAAACAAGGAACGACAAAGCTAAGAATAAATAAAAACGAACAAAGGAAAGAGAGAAGGATTCGGGCGGACACAACGTAATCAGACCCAGGGGCGGTGGCAAGCAGAGATAACAAGCATGGGAACAAGCGGTGTTTGTCTGTGTGTAAGTGCATGTGTTGCGGGATTGTGACGTTGTGGCGTTGCGGTGGCCACATGATGAGGCGTATGTTCAACTGGGTTTTTTCCGACTGGGTCCTTACGAACGATTGCTGTGCCGCTCGTTTGTTTCCGCTTCTATATATATATATATATATACGGATGAGACAGACTAATATGCACGATGCCGGTGCTTTCTACCTGACACGACGATCGACGAATCGATTGAGTAGCGATATCATCATCAGAAGCAACGTCCTCGAAAACATGTCGTTGTTGCATTCTGTATGGCCAGAACAGAACCACTGTAAGATCTGTACTATATATATATATATACTATATATATATATATATATATATATATATATATACTATATATATATATGTACTTATAGTTCAGCTAGGGACCCGCAAATTTACCGGTTGTCAGCCAGCGATTCAACTAATCAATGTACGTGCTGTGTTGCCTGAGGTATGTCACACCTCACAAATTTGAAACTTCTAATGAATGGTATCTAGCCCCTATAGAAAGGGCCAACCTGGTATCAACATGTTCAACAACACAACACGAAATTTCAGCTTCTTATGTATCGTATTATTATTATGCCCTGTAATATTTTCCACTAAACGGAATAATTATCAGAAAGTAGCCTAACAGACGCTCGATAAATGACTGAGTTTTCGAAGATCGGCAAATTATTCATAGAAAAATTACGTATGATCGGTGTAGACAGCTGTGGATAACACGAAATTTCATCATCATCGACGATTGTATCACGGACAGAGCTCTCGTATCGTTGCTTGCAACGACATGTCCGTCTCAGTAATCGACGGCCACCTCTGTTAACTGTCAACGCAAACCAAAATTCTATTTTCTAATTCATCATTGAGGTCCTTGATTTCTTATGATTGTTTTATTCTGTGTATACTCTATTACTATAACTATATAGTATAGTTACCGCTATGTCAACAGATTTAACAGTTGGAAACAAGGCGTAAAAAGCTCGCGGTGTTTGGCCATTGATGACCGAATATGATATATGTCTGCTACGATGGTGGACAGCGGATTGAATCATTGTCATGTGCCGGACGAAGGGTTCGTTCCGCAGAAATTGAAACGCTATCGGAGGTACACCAATGCCGCCAATACGATAATTTAGTAGTAAGTTTTTTTTTAAATATCTTTTAATACCAAAGAGCGCACGTTTTCTAGGCTTATAAAATTCACCATAGATAAAACTTAAATTACTTCAGTGATTGAAAGGTTGTCGTCCACCTGTCAGGCAACGAGGATAGGTTATTGGTAGGTACTAGTTTAGCAGACGCAATTTTCTGTTCTCTGAACTACGTAAATATGACTGATATTTACTGCCAGACTGATATTTATTGTTTATCACAAACGAATGCCGCACGTGATACTACGCGGGTCCAGGGATGCACCGCGTGTACTTTTATATCATGCAATATTTGTCTGCGTTACTTAAATTTAAGTTTATTTTAAATTTAAGTTTAAATTTATGAATGAACTATTGGTAAATAGCCTGTACAATGTACGAAAAATCGTGTCGGCATCATGTTTATTATTATTGTTTAGTTAAATCCTATACCGGCCTTTCATGTACGACCGCTAGTTAACCCGCATTGTGTCTTAACATAGTGTCCAATGAAGAGTTCTGATAATCATACCGTACACGCAATGCAGAAGTTGCGGTGATCATAAACCGTAAAAGGTAGAAGTTTTCCAAATGGTAAAGGTCAAGCCTTATCATTTACATATTTGTATTTCTATTCTAACACAGAACCGAGTTCGCTTCTACCGTTGAAGGTTCGTCTCGTTTATCATTGGACCGACGCAACCTAATGTAGTATAAATTAAAAGCTAGTTAATTTGGGTGCTAGCTATTAATGTAATGAATGAAATCGAATTCGGGTCGAAAGAACTACTGGACAATTTTATATGGGCCTTTAACTGCAGGAAACGTAGGAAATATAATGTCCACCCAACTCAATTCCGCTTTGTTCGTTGTTTCTTTATTGGTATAGTTCTTTGATTTGTTAGTATTGGCGATCGGCAATACGCCCCAAGGCGGAGTACATACCGTGGGCAGCGGGCAATGAATATCGGCGTAGCTTCGACGCGTTTGGGGTGGGGCGTCCGACTGGTCGGGGGCGACCGTTATTAAGGCCCAACCAAGCAACCTCCCTGTTTTCTTTGCTCGTCTTGTTCTTGGCGAGTGGCGTTGGCGGGGTCATTTGGCGCTGCGTTCTGTTGGCTGAGCAACCGTCCGAACAGCGACGTCTTAAGCTTGCTTCGGTATCAGCTCGAATCGAACCTTCGTGCACCTCTGCTTCTTTGTTTTTTAGGGCACAAATTCGTACACAGTATTTTCTTCTTCTTGTCTTTCTTTCTGGGAGGAACGTATCGGCGTTTACGCCATGTATGGCCAAGAACCTTTCGTCCTGATCACTCGTCTCGCCATACTCTAAAGCACGGATAGAACATCCGTGCATTTAAATTTTATTAACATACACACACACACACACACACAGAAGAATATATTTCTCCTACATGTTGCGGACGTAAGAAGTAGACCAGGCCAGCCATCCGGAGAGGAAAGATTCCTGCGCAGACAGCGCAAGAACACACCGTGAGACTTCGTGGTTTTTTATGGCGAGTTGAGCGCACAAACTGGAGTCCCATGTGGGTCCGTTCGTTCTACAGGGCGTAGGGAAAAGGCAACAGCGATGGGCATGGATTCCGCCCTGTCTATGAATGTAGACTCTGCGACTCGCGCCGCGAATCGTGATGCTGCTGATTCAGTGATTCGCTATGTTTTACCGATTTTATTTTCCTTCGATTGTCATCTACAATCTGCCGCTTGTGCTCCGCCTGCATAGGTCTGATGGAAACAAGGACGACGTCACCGTCCCTCTGCCACCGACAGGGGGATACTCGCATAAGCGACTTGCACTTAGAGTTGATAAAATAGATAGACGGCAGGTTACAGCAGAACTAAACGACAACATATCATAGTTTTGTGCCACTGTTTTTCTACCCGTATCTAGAAAATGGAAAGCGAGATAATGGTTTTACACTAGACAAGCGTATATCACTAATCCGTGTTAGGTTTGCTGAAGTTCGCAGGTAGAATTAATCTTCCTCATTTGGGCCGTTTTTTTGAGCAAAAAAAATTAGGTGAATTCGAATGAAGACCCTTCAGGCGTTTCCACTCAAGAATTTAGCTGCGTGACTTAATCGTTACTGTCGGCATTTTTAACATCGTAACTCAATTAGTAGGGGATGGGCCACATTGATTATAAAAGGGCATGATGCTGCCACGGCGGGACCCGTCGATCGAACAGCACTTACTATAGGGAATCCTCATTGATATCTACAGACAGACATATATACATAGAGAAGTATGTGGGATTAGATCAGATAAGATTAGGGCGTTACTCTATGACCTCATCTGTTTTAGAAATATCTGAAGAGCTCGCCACACCTTCATAATACATTGGTGGATGGATTGATGCCACGTCACGCGTTATAGATACTGTCGGTCTATAAATGTCTCTGAAGAACTTTGCAAGCCCTATGCGTTTATATGTCGTATGGAACATTGTTGTTAGCTACTCACCATATATTTGTAATAGATTTAATTAGTTTTCCTCTCGTTATCGGTTATATTTCGCCGTTTTGCTAGCCACTTAGCAACTCACGTGTTTTTTTTTTTTATTTGAAGGAAGATTTAACTAAATTATTAAATTAAAGGAAGATTTGATAGAAGATATCTGTGTTCAGAAATCAACTTACGGCCTTGAGTGACCCATTCAGAATCAGTAAATCGTTTCTCTGCGCATAAGTTTTCAACTGGTGCCGTATCTGATGTTCCGAATTGAAATTCAACAACGGTTTGGGATCTTCGCTGGAACTTAACGCAAGAATAGGTTTCTTCGCCACTGCAATTGAATGAAACACGAATTATTAGGAGTTATATAGGCTAAGACAAAGATGACCAAATCAAATCGAAAGTTATTTACGTAGAATTAAACTAGCTGTCCTTAAAAAGCGCACCGCTCAAAACAGCAGGTTCTATAGCATTGTCTCGCTGACAAAACTTACCATTGTGAAATCGAATGGACTGGGAACCGGTCATCCTGTCCCTGAAGTAAGCAGCGAATTGTCTGGGTACTAAAATCATTCTTGGGATCTCGCATGATCATGGTTCCCTCGTCGATATTGACCTGGTCACCCCACGGACCCTGAGTAAACTCTGGAAAGGTACACTGGGCACGTTCGACAATCGGTGGCAGTGGCTCAGGTTCGATAGGGCCCAACATGAACGTTTCGTACCCATTGTGAGCAGAGACGACGTGGCACGTAGAATCGGCTGCTAGCGACATGTACACTCTTCCAGTGGCAGGGTCTTGCCTATATAGCTGCAATGACGGAATCGAAAGTATATTAGTATTTACTTCTGGCGGCATTTAGAAGCTGTTTCATATATACCTGTGTTCTGACTTTTCTGCAGCCATTTTGCTGACAGCTTATTAACCTATTCTCTATAGTAGGGTGTAGTGAGTATCTAGCTTGTTTTGAAAACACTTGCTAAAAAAATCGTCCTGAGTAGCGACTTTGTTTAATGTACAATATAAGTATCCTAAAAACAGAAACGCCCGTGAGACAAATCAATGTACACATGTTGTTGTGTATATGAAACATCAAGTCTATGTGGATTTTTACGGCGATCTATGGTTAGCAGCCACGGCAGATAGCTATCGTACGGAAAGATTTTTCTCGTCCATTCCAAATCGTCAGTTGCTTTACCCATCGAATACCATGAGCATTGTCACTACGTGAAGAATTTAGTGCCGTTCCGATTCTTCCTTTTCTCTCCTGATCAGGGCATTTATTAAGTTATGATCGCGTCACGTAGCGGAAATTTGACCGATTTTAATTCGCTAATTGAAACAGGCTTCAATCAACGGTAGGCATATCGCACTGTTTCTTTTTTACTGAAGAAGACCGCGCTGGTCGGTGGGTTTGCAGCTTTGAGAGCCCCGAGGAACGTATTTAATATTAGCTTTTACGAATGACCAGAGGTAACACTTGACAGTAGCGTCAATCGAAACTAAACGTTTTCAAGCCTGCGGCACCAAACAGCTCCAAGGTGCTGCAAGGCTTCATACAGCTCTACAATTAAATGTAATAGATATATTGTGATCCTATTTTACGTAGCGTATTGGCTTAATTTAGTGGCAGCTGGTGCGCTTAATGTTGGATAGCGTTTATATATGTTTGCATCTGTGTGTGTATGTGAAAGGAAAAGACAAAGGTCATCTTATCGTCATCATTCTGACACAGTGGAGGCAGAAAATGCGGTGAGGCCTAGTGGCATGACATTTTCAGGCACAGTGATCTCATAGAGGTAGTACTTCAAATTGTAGAAATAGCTTGCGAGCTCGAACTGCTTCCATTAGGGTGTTGCGTATAATGAAGCTAACCGCCTGCATTGCCGTTTATGTATATATATATATATATAGCAATATAAAACATAAAAAATGCTTACTGGTCGTAGACGCGTATATACATGTATATACGTTTACTACGAGGAAATGAAAGTTGAAGCGGTGTATGTGCGTATATGTTCCTGTATAGGTACTGGTTATTTATTGAATCGTACTTGGTCATTTTGTAGATTGATTCAATGAGATTCGTATGAACAAGGGGGTACCTAAAAATATGCTTTAAAGCGTTTAGTCGCAACGGCAGAGTAACATAACAATAATAACTGTAATAGACGCTAAATGCAAAAGTAGCACGAGATGACTTACTCCGCAGCGGTATTTTGCTCGTTTGGGATCGCCGCTCGTATCCATTAAAGCAACGAAACGTTCGTCACTGTTGGCGCCTTCCCAGTCACCGAGACAGACAAAATCTTCGTCTGAAGTAAAACACAGGGCAAAGATAACCGCGTGTTATTAGCGCATGTGGGCCAAGAACAATGAACTTCTTACTAATGTGACCACATGCTAGCGTGTTAATAGATAATTTTATACTGTAAAGGATTTGTACACAGCATTTTTTCGAGAAAAAAAAAAGATTAGTTCCGAAGTCCAGCATCTTATTTTACCCTACTCACCCCATCGACATCGATACGCCACTAAAACCGTAAAGGCACCATATTTCTTACTTATCAGAAAAACAGAAAGGAAAAAACTATTTACGACGGTATCTATCATCTTAGATCTTATTATACATGCAAATTCAATAATAAATTACATTTCACTCGAACGATTTCACAAGAGGCTTTCCCGAGAGACCTGTAAAATATCTGGGCACAAAATTCCCTCGAAAAGTGGTAGCGGTGGAGCGCGTCCATGTCGATTCGCTTTTAGACGTGAGCCGGTCTTCGCGCGCCTATAAAGGACGCTCGCAGATGATCAGATCACAACGTTGTGATCATGATCATCATTATCGTCACCGTTGACGTGTTAAACCTAATCACACCTACATTAGCTTGCTGGACGCAAGGGACAATTCAGATTAGGTTGGACTGACAACCGAAATAATTGCACAGAATTTCATTGTTTTTTTTTTTTTTGTCTATTAACACTTTTTCCCCGTTCATTTTGGTATTCGTTATCAGATTCGTTACTGCTATATCATCGCAGTTATCGTTGTTGATGTTGTTATCATCGACGTCTGCTTTTGTTTACGTTGTTGTGTCATTGCGACAGCTGCGCCGTTGTTGCAAATTTATAAGGCCGTAAGTGGTGGGATAACAGCACGTTATTCGTTTGTTGAATGAGTTCGCGACGAATTAGCAACAGGAGAAGCAGCTTCAATGTTACTGCCACGGCTACGGAATATCTGTAACGGCGGCGACAGTAACTGTTAGTACCACCCACCATGGTCACAAATACAGACGGCAGTCAGGCAGAACGACTTCACGTAGAGCCGGCCTTCTGCTACTTATAGCCGACTAGAAAAACGCCAAGGACCGAGGAAAAAACGAAGATAGCGACGGCGAAGTCCTCGTTCGCTCACACGCGACGCAATGCTACAATTCGCTGCTTCCGAACCAAGGAGAAATCGCCGGGCTATATGTTATACGACTACTATACTACTACGAGAGCGAGCAAGTTGTGTTGAGCTCGTCTGACGATGGCTTGCGTAGCCGCAGATGTCTGAGGGAATATAAGGTAGACGGCCCTTCAGGCGATCGATAGGTCGCTCGATAATTCAGCTGGTCGTACATTTTCCTGCGGGCATCCTAAGCTAAGTCGTGAAGCCCTCACTACGCAGTACACCATGGGATTGTACGATGCGTGCAAAAAATTGTTGACAACCTGAAAAAAATGGACGATGAATGGCTTACGTGACCGTTCCCAAACGTTCGTTTAAGTAGTGTAGAACTTACGCTTGCACTGTAATCTCAGCGTAACAAAAAATGCATGGCAACGATACGAGGAAATCACGCATACTACTCTACACAGATAAAACGATGTCACATCCTCAGAGCAGTTTCAATTCATCGGTCGAAGATCTGTACCGCCTGTTTCTGCTCATATGTTTTGTGCGCGCCTCTCTGCGTGTACAAACATTATGACTTGTCTAAACTTTGGTAAGGCGAAAATTTATTTGCTGCTACGTTCCGAATCCCCTTGGTTATACCTAACATCGGTATAGTAGAACTGTGAGTTGTAATAAGAACGTCGTGAAGGTTTGCGAACAACAGGCAATATCGGTGCGGCGCGTAAACGCAAACGCATGTCTCCGCATGAGTAAAAACCCGTTGTGCGGTCGCTACGGGAGGCGGGGGAGGTCCGAGCAAAAACCATTAAGCGTGTGTCTAGCGTAAAAAGAAGATTATGGTGGTAGAAAAGAGGTAAACAAGATGAAGGAAAGGTAGACTGAAGTATCGACAATGCGAAACAGACTAACAGCAAGTTCTTTCAGACAAAGACATGGTGGGATGCAATGAAAACCTCAATGAAGCACAATGCCAAGACGAAATGCCAAAAACACACAGAGACTCACATATCGAAGGGAATAATGAACCGATGCCAGCCGCTGGCCTTGTTCCTATAGAAGTGCCGTTGTTGCTATCATCATAGTAAACATTTTAGTGGTAGATGCCAGCCGTGCCGTTATTGTTGTCGTACAACATCCGCATCTGTACGGTAACCGCGAGTGAGTATGTAAGTATCAAGTGGTAAAACTTTGGCTGCGGACGACGGATTGACGCTGTGAACACCAAAGTGTAAGGCAGGAAAAATAACCACCTTGTACAACCATTTTGTTGCTGTTGTTGACGACATGGTACCGTCCATCGGATCTCACGATGCAGAGATTGCAGTTGGCCACTCTTTTACCTCAAGTGGCGTTATTGCGATGCTTACGCGGCTTGTTCGTTTTTTGTATCATGCTTTTGTTGGTCGGAACGGGACGTCTTTTCGACGCTATCGCCGCAGAGTACGAACCATCTTCCTCTCCTGTGTGTTCGCTGATATACGTATGAATATACCGAAAGCAGTACGTTAAGACGCGCATTGTACTTAACAGTTACTTGTATGGATACGACTGCATGAAATAAGCGAGTGCCAGGCGTCTGATCTTCTGCTCGTTAGGGTAAAACAGCGTGATCGACTTTGCCGAATGTATTGTTAACACGTTATCTGCCTGTCAATCTCGATGTTGGACCGCATGCAGTCTATGCGGCGAAGCTGATGAGCGACAGTGCAGCGGCACGAGTTTCAATGGTTTTATAAGCTTATACGGTTCGCCTTATGGGGGCAACCTTAAACTGACGCTCGATGAAGAAATAACAGGTAATAATATATGATCTCGCTAAGAGGGCTGACCCAGCTTGGGAAGGCCATATGACTCAACAGCGTCATCGCTCTCTCCGTCAGTGATTGTCAAAACTTTGGCGATAATTCACCGTCCAATGTTAGCTATGGCGGCACAGTTAGCGTTTACCGATTTAGTATTTTCAAGCCACCACAATTTAGTTTGCGTTTTCTAATCGTCACCCTCTTGCTCGTGCACCAAGGCTTGAGTTTGGCACGTGTGCATGCACAGCTAAGACGATTCTGTTATTGTAGTAGTTGGCAACGTTCAACGTAAAGGGATATAGGGGATAATATATCTCCAACGGACGTCCCGTTCCTATCCGGGCGTGAATGCCACTAGCGAGTAGATCTTCAAAGGACAAAAAATACGTGAAAAATCGAACGCAGATAGCTAGACGACGGAAAGTAAATTCGTTCGTTCGTTCGTTCGTTCGTTCGTTCGTTCGTTCCAAGTTGTCCGTAAGCAACAGCTATTTGGAACTAGACTAAACAATATAGAACAAATCAAAAGGGATCGTATCGATGCTTCCGTATCGAATCGTGATACGCGACCCCAAACAGGTCCTTTCTTGTACAGTATACTGAAGACAGTTTACAGAACACATGTTTTATATTAGATGTCTTCCACAGCCTATAATCCTCGCCAATAATGATGAGAGTTCTGATGACTTTTTGCCTGTTATGTATGTAGCACGTTGTTGAAAGTCAAAAATAACAACAATGATAAATATCTGCTTTTCTATACAAACACAAACTGGCAAGCCCCCATTTAACAGAAAAACGGGTCAACATTTGATTTTTCTTCGTTGCTACGCAATATGCAATATAGAAATACTAGTCATTGTATCTGAACGAAGTTAGCTGATATTCGTATTGAATCGTCCTGCATGCAACAACGTTGCCTCTTCGGCCATGCACACGTCAACAATGCGGTGAACTACTAACCGTTAGATTACTTCTGACACAGTATATTGACGATTATTGCCCGCGACGCTCAGTGGGCAAATGTATCCGATACATTCGCAGCCCGTGCCGCTATACAATTGACAGAGGACTGATTATTGCCTCCGTTACCATCACTGATCTCGCGCACAAAGGGCAAACAATGTATTTTTCTTTATTTTTGAAAAATGAAAAATAATTGAAAATTGCGGTAGCTGTGTAGAAAAGCAGCTGCGACCGTTTCTGCCTATGCCTGTACCGCTGCCAGTCAGCCGGACGGCGTCAAATGGTCATTCCACGGAAGCTGAATTGTTGTTGTCGCCGTCGTTGCGGCCGCTGTTATGCCGTCGCTCACGGACACTGAATGGCCGACCGCAGAGTTCATCGCTTTGGTCGACACCGCTTCGATCGCTGCCGTCGCCGTCGCCGTCGTCATATTCGTCATCGACCCTTTAGTTCTCGTCGTGGCCTTTAACGGGGCTGTGCCGTCCCTCTTCTAAAACAGGCCGCGTCTCGCGCACGCAGGCATCGTACGGATAGCATAGGCAGGCAGCAGAGCACAAACAAGGAACGACCGTCAGCACGACTGGCTAAACAACGACCCGTTGTAGTACCAGGCTCGTGTCGTTACCAGTCAGACAGACTGGTTGTATGACTGCTAGGTGGACAGCAGGCGAGCGAGCGATCGCACGTACAATCGGCTCACCTCATACTCTGCCCCATAGCTGTTCTTTGTCATCGTTCTCTTCAAACAGATAGATACTATCGAAGTTATATGATCGACCGGCGAAATAAACGAACGAAGCTGAAGAACGATATACTATCTTCAATATTTAACGCTAGCTTGACGCCGTAGCGGCACGACAATGACGAACTATGATAAAAAAACGGAATGAAGTGACAATGATGAAATAAATGACAACGAGAGACAAGAAAAAGGATATATAGGGACATTATCCGATTGAGCTGCAGCTGATATGACGGCGACTTTAGCAGTAGATTTGTATCGGTTTCAACTAGCGACCGTACAGGTTTCTTTACGCGTGTCTTTTAGAATAGCGTGATAGAGGCTCGCTGCCCAGGACAGCATCGTACTGTTAAGCTGAGTTGTGCAGGTATACAAAATGGTAATAACACCATTGACTTTCGACTGGGTTCGTAATTCTAAATCTGTCGTAACGGTCATATGACAAATCGACGGGATAAAATATACTTTATAGGAATCCTTTCCCTTCTGCGTCTCTATCCATTGATTTTTAGCCGAATGAATTAATGCTGTTTATACATAGCTGAGTTGATGATAGTTAGTATATTTCTGTTTCTAGGCATTGTTATTTCTAGATCCAGTTTATCGGAAGCAGATTCCGCGATACGGTGTATTGAGCAAAAAAAAAAACTACCGATACAGAGAGATACGAGCGTAGGTAGTACTTAATTCAAGAACATTTGTTATGCATGCACGCTTCGTACGCGATAATGGCCTTATATAAAACGAAAAATCCTATTCTCCTCTGTAGTAAATATGCTAATGACGATCACCCCAGTTTACCTCGATCAGGAAACGAACAGCTCCGGAATTTTACGGCAAGTTTGTCACCTCGTGGACAATTAGCTACTTCAGAGAACTGACTGCGCGGTGCAAGACAACGGCTTTCCTGGCCATCCTTTTGGTACGAAGAAACGCGAAAGCGTCCAGTAAATGGGCAGAAAACTCCCTGCGGAGGATCTTTGCGATATAGAATATAATGTTCAAAGCTGCCTTGATTGTTTCCGTCAGGACAGTGCAGACGAGCTGCTTCTTCCGTGGTGTAACACCTGTCAAGGCCTTCGGCCTGAATGTGGACCACATGGTTACTTTTCACTGACAAGTGAAGGCAACGCATACAATCCTCAATACCCGTCGGATCACGCAGTATGACTCCTGATCCACCGCGTCGCTTATGACAATGCCCCCATGGCGGGATCGAGTCTGAATCGATGATCACCTCCGAATAGCTGATGCCACCTTGCACGTTGGACTGTTGCAGCAGATAAGTACCCTGGATATCGATTGGAAAGTAGCACTCGCCATTACAGCCTGAAAATGAAACAGAAAAAAAAAAAACAATGAGATATATCAACAGACTATTTCGAGAACAAAAATTGAAGTTTGTTACAGTGGCTTATCTTTAGCCCCAAGTGTGCTTTCACATGCTACTTCGCCACTGAACTCTACTGGGAACGAACAGATTTCATCAGAAATGCGAAGTAGTCAACTACAGTTTGATTTATCCACGCTCTAGAACAACGGATCCACCCAAGTACATAGGCCTCCCCGCGAGTCGTCATTCATCTTAAAGAGGGCAACCGGATGGCTGGCAGACAAGAGGCTGTATCTCGCTCCGAATTCGCAGAATGTCGCCCCTTCCTTCAAAACGACTGATCGTATCCCCGATCTCACCCTATTGAAGGGTCACACTTGCTTTTTGTTAGCTATCAGCGTATTGCCCGCCCCGGTGAACAGTAGTGCAAAGTATTATTCAAAACTAATTCGGCATTTTCCTTTCGTTTTCGTTCAACACCGCCTGTGCATAAAGGCGTTTGCTGTATACGCACTCCCGATACGACTTGTTTCGTTGGTCGGTAACGAACGTGTCGGCGCCCCCACATGCGCGGCACCGCCGAGATTCGAAGATATCCGGACTACTTTTAGATTGCTCTAGGAATACTTGATGTTGTAGGAATATTATGATATCCGCCTCAGCATTGATCGAACATAGGCGATTAGTACTACCGCTCATTACCTTCTTTTTAACAATATAATAATAGTAATTATAGCACGCAGCACAAATAAATGGACACATGAGGGTATTTTCCCATCTAGTGTATTGTAGATGGCAACGGCGACAGAAACAACCATGAAGACGATCTCCAGTATGATTAGAGAGATATGTTTGGATGGGTAAAAGTGAACAGGTAGTAACCTACCGTATATATTTTACGTAGCGGTTTTATCGACGAGCGGCGCACAAGCTAAAAATTAAGATTTCAGCGTATAAGTTCGGGTACGTTCGTGCAATTCCAGAATGATCGCATCGTTTTTCTATGGAACTGTACGAGTCAAGCTGGGAAAACGTGTGCGTATGAGTGAATTCATTCGTGGTGATACTTCACCGGACGTAGGAAACAGTAGTTTTGCTTGTTTGTGCTCTGCTGCTGTGCTCGCTGGCATCCTCCTTCATCTATATAGAGCCCTGCCAACGATTGGGGATTTAGGCGGCTTTTCGTTCGCGTGTATCATCTATACCTGACGCCGTTTGTCCGCCTTTGTTGACTCTGCTGGTACTGGTATAGCTGGCCGTGGCCCCTCGCGTGCACCGCTGCGTGGGAGACAAACTATCGAGTTGAGAGGACCAAACGACCGGCCGGTGGACTAACTGGCGACTCTACGATAGACGATGTAATGCGTACTATCGGCTCCAGAAGCAGTCTGGCCAACAGCAAGTTACCGTCCCTCCCGTAAGCGAACAGCAATTGTGAGTGAGCACCACACGCCAAGTAACCCGCAATAGCAGCAGCAGGTACGATCGTTGTCTGTCTCCAACGATTCCGAGTGTCAGCGGGCCAGCCAGACAATCAGACGACAACATATAGCTTTCGCCTGGTCGCCCAGAAGATCATGCTACAAAACAACACCGTCACACTAACACCATCACAACCACCGTCGGCGTAGTGATCGGAGCTAAACACAGCGGCGCGACCACGGTTTCAACGATGGCGGCCCCTCATCCATACAAAAAAAAAGCCACAGAGACAAACACATCCATGTAGACACAAAAATCGACGACATCGAAGACAGATGCCGACAGACGCGCTCCTTCACTAGGATTCCCGCCGATTATGCCCGTGCTGCCGTTGGACTCCTTTTTTTTCTTTGAGTCCTAAAGAAAATCCTGTGAGGAGGGAAATGGATGCATTGACTCCGCTCCGGATATTGGCCGTTTTCTGTGCTTCCGCGCTCGCTTCGTTGTCGATGGTGTTACCACTCGTGGCACTAACGTACGCTGTTGACAGCTACGAGCAGACTCTTCCAAAAAAGAAGAGACAAATAATGCTAATAGCTTTTTTTAGTCAACTATTTACATCCACTTAATCCATTCATAGCTTCCGACCATGCAAGGTTGGAATTGTACAGCCCGCTGTTCACCAATAATAGCTTTGGTGCCCAATGTTACAGCGTACGAGAGTCAAATTGGAGAGTGCTGTCTGCCACTGAAATCTTTATTTGAGTAAACAGTATTAATGATTATACGTGGCTACGGCAAAGTCTGTCGTAAGAGACTGGAACAAATCAAACAAAGCTCTGATAGGTGCCAAGGATCCCTTCACCTGATCTCTGAGCCTCTCGTCAGAGTCTAATGATTGCCGAGACAATTGCACGGAAACTCGAGTGGGTAGTTCTCTCGAAGAAATACGACCGTAAAATCGATAACCTCCCTCCCCCCTGGTGGTAAATGCAAAAACGGTTTTCGCCGTGACCCAATGATCGGAAATCGGCCAGATACCTCGCAAAACATCAAGAGTGACAAGTTATTTTGTCTCGTATAAAAAAGCACCCGCGTTAGTCGTCTACATTCGCTTGCCGGCTCGTCGAATTGCTCCTGCTGCTGCTGGCCGACAGGAGAATCATTGAGTTCCGAATATTGTTTGGAGAAGAGGACAGGACGAACTGCTTGTGATCTGAAGACGTTTGATCAGAAGCCAAAAAAAGTAGATATACTGGTTCGACGCAGCTTGAGGTCCGCCCAGACGACCTACAGTAAGCTAAGTAAAGAATAACTGTTTGAAACCGACTTAAACATGGCGGTATAGGCAAAGCTACACGTAAAATAGAATTAAAACAATAACAACTAAAGATAAAAAGCAAACGATCCAAAGCAGTCATATTGGCTCAACCGAGAAAAGAACGGAAGATTAGCTACTAAAGATTGCCACAGAACAGTTGTACGGAAAAGTTACGTCGATTACGACCTAAGCAGAACGGCTGGCACGCATAAGGCGCTAACTCAAATCACGGAATCAATTAATCGATCAATCAATCATTCTCCTTAGGACTGCTTCACGCTACCGGTCCTGTTTAGGACTGGCCAGCCTCTCGTTCCCAGTTGCGCCTGCATCAAGTGTTGCTAAAAGTAATGGCTCAATTGATTGTCGGCTGCGAAACGGCAGGCTGTAAAACGTGCACAAGCTCAAAAACGGCAACTGACCACAGAATACCATCGGCTCGACGATATTTAGCAATTCCCTAGTAGTAACAAGGGCAGAGCGCGAGAAATGAGGAATTTGACCTCAAAAACCGATCGCTGTCGACTCCGCGGCCTCAGTCGGTAGGCCTAAGCAATAATCCCAAGGCAAGAAAGTTAAATACTGTAGCACAGTCGCTGCTATATCTCGCCTGGACATGAGCCTATAGAGCACAAAATAAAAATAAATGTCGGCTCCGGTTTTCATCCATCAGTAGAAGTGTATGCTGTTTTTGCCGCTGGGCAGTGACTGACCCACCGACCGACCCACGGCAAAGATCGTTTAACAACAGAGGAACTCTGATCAGAAGCGCGAATGCACCACACTGCCAGTTTGAAAAGTCAATTTGCGAGTGGGCCCACAGTCGACGTTTCATTTTCATTTCGGGAACTTCTTTCCACCCATGCGTTTATTATTACCAGAGAACGATGCTAGTTCGTATACATACGCCGCTAGGCATGGTTTAGTCTTCTCCCACATTGAAGCGAGACGCAATGGTTGAGCGCTCTGCTTCAAAGAAATAAGAGGTAACCTGCCTGTGCGTGCATCCAACGTGACTTTTCCATCGGTGGCCACTTTTATGGGAGTGGCGATGGTGCCGCTAGAAGAGATTCAGCGGCGAACTTCTGTCCCCACTATCACCATCGAACCGAGCTGTCGGCTGCAATAATAAGAAACTAACATTTGACTGTTACTGACATTGTGGTGCAGATGGATGGGACCGAGATGAACGACTACGGGAGTGAATAGAACAAACGTCCTGGATCGCTTGGGAAACCCAACTGCCAACGAACGGACAGAAGGACGGATAGTCAGACAACGGACGCTGCTGGTAGCACGCTATGACAGAATGCGCAGGAACAAACAATATCGACCGCTCCCGCTGCGGTTTTCATTTGTTCCGTGCCGCCTCGCTCGAAGACAGACAGTTGTAGGGCTCTAGTCCGGGTATATAACTGCAGATATAGTGAGTGCTATACATATCTGCGGGCGGTTCGTCGGCCGGTGCCTGGCTACTGCCAGACGCGCACTTTCGTATCTTCGGCCGAGTAGCTATTGCTGCAACTACAAACGCAATACGTCAGAGCGGTGCTCGTGGTTGCCGACACCGTAACCGCAGGAAGAATTGAATAGACTCACAAACGACGTACTTCGTTCGCCACCGTACCGTTAGTTACGCTTGTGAGCGAAGCAGTGTTCCTTCCCTCGAACACGACACGGACGCGTTCGTTCATCGGTCGATCAGTCGGCCCGTTCGTCCAGTACTGCATTTATCCTTTCACAACCAACCAATCAGATAGATCGAAGCACATAAGCGCACATTAGACTGTCAGCTATGGCAGCTGCAACGGTAGTAGTAGTAACAGCAGAAGCAAGCGGCAGCTGTGGTCAGATAGATAGACTCGCTGGGTGTTTTGTTTGTGTGAGAATATACTTATTTTATCTGTATTGTGTGCATGAGCCAGTTACCGATATAGTAGATGGCATTGTTTGTACAACACTACATGAACATACACAAAAATGCGTAAAGATACAGACACAGTGTAGTGATATAGTAGTAGCGGTAGTTGTATCGATATGCGCCCTTTCACCGGCATGCGCTAGCGTCCGGTGTCCGTCGTTCGTCGTCTGGCGATCTTCATCCTCATCATGGCCGACGACGACGACGACGTCCCAGATATCGTCGTGTCTCCCACCTCCACGCATTCATATTGATTGATATGTTGCCACTGTTGCCGCGCCTGCTACAATGGCAATACCGTATAGGTAGAAAGAAAGGAATAAGTCAGCTGG